AACACCCATTTATGATATAAAATTCTCAAAAGCATAAAACAGAGACAAACTTTCTGAACTCAATGAAGAGCATCTACAAAAAAAAAACTATAGCTAAGATTATACTTAATGATAAAAGACTGAGTGTTACTACTGTAAGACTAAGCTTCACTTAAAATCAGGAACAAAACAAGGATTTCTGCTTTTACCATTCCTATTATTCACAGTGCAGGAAGTTCTAGCCAGTGTGATATGGCAAGAAAAGGAAATAAAAGGCATATGCACAGGAAAAGAAGAAATAAAAACTATTCCTATTTGTAGATGATATAATTGTCTATACAGAGAACTCTAAGAAATCTACAGAAATCTCTTAGAACTAATAAAGGAATTCACCAAGATTGCAGGGTATAAACAAGCAAACAGAAATAAAATTTATTTCTATATACCACCAATGAACATGTGGATAGTGACTTAAAATACAATACTATTTTCAATCACTCCAACAAAATGAAATACTTAAATGTAAATCTAACAGAACATTATTTACGTAAGTTGTATGCTGAAAACTACACATTGCTAATGAAAGAAATTGAAGAAGATATAAATGGAGAAAGTGCGTTTGTGGATAGGAAGATCCAACAGAGTAAAGATATCAGTTCCCCCCAAATTGATACACAGGTTTAATGCCATTCCTATCAAAATTCTAGCAAAAATTTTCATGAACATAGGCAATATCATTCTAAAATAATCCCATATAATGGATCTACTCGAGTAATAGAAAGGCAAAGGAACTAGCATAGCAAAAACAAGAATAACGTGGGCAGAATCACTTTTAGCAGATTTCAAGGTTTCTTATAAGCTGCAATAATCAAGACCGGTAGGTGTTGGTGGAGAGATAGACCTGAAGGTTAACAGACTGGAACAGAGAATCCAGATAGAGACCCACAAGCCAAGTGTAATTGGCTTCTGGCAAGGATACAAAAGCAATTCAGTGAAGGAAATGTCGCCTCTCTTGTCAAAAGATGCTAGAGCAACTTGATATTTTTCTACAGGCAAAAAATAAAAAATAAATAAAAATAAATAAATCCCAATTGAAGTCTCAGACCTTATATAAAAATTAACTCAAAATTTAGACCATAGATATAAAAATAAAGTGTAAACTTTTGGAAAAAAAATACAGAATAAAATCTTCAAGATCTGGAGCTAGGCAAAGAGTTCTAAGTGCCTGTTCAGAAAAGGAAAAGCTATAGAGATGTGTTTAATTTGTATTAAAGCCACCAAGTAAAAAATACATATATATTTGCAAAGCATGTATCTGTCCAAACTAGTGCCTAGAATATGTTGTTTAAAGAACTCTCAAAACTCAACAGTGGAAAGACAAACAATCCCGTCAGAACATAGACAAAAGACAGGAAGAGGATGTAGAGAAGACAAATAAGCACACGAAAAGATGTTCAACTTCAGTTAACTGTAATTAGGGAAATTCGAGTTAAGCACATCTGTCAGAATGTCTCAGACAAAAAGTAGTGACAGTATGAAGTGTTGGCGAGGTAAGGAAAACTTGGCCGTTCATCCATGGCTGGTGGGAATGTAAACTGGTGCAACTACTCTAGAAAATGGCGTGACATTTTCTTTGAAAACAAGCACTATAGCTACCATATGGCCCAGCAATTGGGCTGCTGGGCATTTACCATAGGGAAATGAAAACTGTTGCTCACCAAAAGATCTGTAATGGGAATGACGTATTGTCCACATAAGTAAAAAATGAGAAGCAGCCAGCACATAACTAACTTCAAAAGACTACATGCTGGAGGATTCCTATGACGCAACATTCTGTAAATGACAACATTATAGAAATAATGAGCAGATTAGTGGTGGCCAAGAGTTAGGCAGGGGCTGTCAGGGTGGCATGGGAAGGAGCTGGGTGTGGAAAACATGAGGGGTCCTTGTGGTGATGGAAATGTTCTCTATCTGGACAGTAGCAATGGCAGTTTCCTGGTAGTTCTGTAAGACATTAGCACTGGGAAACTGTGCAAAGAGCACACATATCTCTCTGCATCATTTGTTTTGTCTTTTTTTTTTTTTTTTTGTAGAGATGAAGTTTCCCTCTGCCACCCAGGCTGGGGCGCAGTAGTGTGATCCTAGCTTACTGTAACTCCCATCTCCTGGGCTCAAGTGATTCTCCTGCCTCAGCCTCCCAAATAGCTGGGATTATAGGCACATGTTTCTGTGCTCTGCTAATTTTTAAAATTTTTGTAAAGATGGGTTCTTGCTATATTGCCCAGGCTGGTATCTAACTCCTGGCCTCAAGCAATCCTCTTGCCTCTGCCTCCCAAAGTGTTGGGATTACAGTTGCGAGCCACCATGCCTGGCCTCTGCATTGTTTCTTATGCCTGCATGTTATTTGTTATCCCCAAATAACAAGTTTATTTATTTTTTTTTTTAAAGAGAAAGAAACATTTATAGGACAGTTGTGGAATTATGAACACCGGCTGTAGTTTTAGTATGTTGGTGGCATTGAGTTTTTGTTTTAAAAGATAAGTCTATAAATATGAGAGAGAAGCAGGTGGGGGCTGGTTCGGAAAACGAGTAGTGATGAGCAGATGAATGTGATAATAGGCATGTGGGATCCTTAGCAGCAGACAATAACATGCATGGAGCTGGAACAGACAGAGTGAAGTCATTGACTTTGGAGGCAGTCAGGCCTGATATGAATCTTGGCTCTGCTACCTATTAGCTGTGTGACCTTAGGTAAGTTATTTAACCTCTCTGAGCCTCAGTGTCCTCATCCATAAAATGGAGCTAATATGTCATAGGGTAACTGTACAGATAAGCCAGATTGCCAAGGAAGAGTGTAGGGTGAGGGGTAACTTCACGAAGGGAGGAAAGAAGAAAGGGAGAGAAGCCAGAGCAGGAGAGAGACATGCAGGTGGAGGTGGGGCAGGAGACCTGAGGTTGAGCCAAGCAGTATCTTAGAATCCAGAAAAAGATTTTTAAGAGTGGTAGGAAGATGATACCTGGGAAGAAGCCATCAGATTCAATGTTCAGAACATCACTGGTGCTGATACAGGCTGGGGTTCAAGGGTGGGGGCCCCAGATCCAGAGGGGAGCTGGGGAACAAGGAGGTGGTGCCCTCTACTCTTAGAACATGATGATAGCCCAAGACAGGTTAGAGGTCAGAAAGAAACAAAAAAGGAAGAGGTTGAAAATAACAGAGAAAGGAGGGTTGTTTCCATATCTTGGCTGTTGTGAATAGTGCTGCATTGAACATGGGTGTGCAAATATCTGCTTGAGATCCTGACTTCAATTCTTTTGGGTATACGCCTCAAAGTGTGATTGCGAGATCATATGGTCATTCTATTTTTAATATTTTGGGGAACTTCCACGCTATTTTTCATAGTGGCTGCACCATTTTACATTCTCACCAACCCTGAGCCAGGTCTCCACTTTCTCCCTATCCTCACGGTCACTCATCTTCTGGTTTTGTTTTGTTTTTAGTAATAGTCATCCTCACAGGTGGAAGGTGATAGCTTACTGCAGATGATGAATGAAGAAAGTGCGGTGCATCTATATAATGGAATATCATCCAACCTTGAAGAAGGAAGTGCTGCCATGTGCAATAAAATGGATGAACTTGGAGGATGCTGTGTTAAGTGAAAAGAGCCAGTCACAGAAAGACAAAGGCTGCACGATTCCACTTACACTCTATAGTCAAACACACAGAAGCAAGGAATTCATAGTGGTTTCCAGGGCTGTGGGTGAGGGTGGGTTTGGGGAAGTGGGGAGTTACTATTCAGTGAGTCTACAGTCTTAGTTTTGCTGGTAGGTGCAGTTGTGTTATGTAGCCTCCTGCCTGCCACTAACAGCACATACTGTGCACTTCAAAATGTGTTACAAGGCTGGATCACATGTTAAATGTTTTTGTGACAAAAAACAAAGGGGCACAGGAAACTTTTGAAGGTGATGGATATGTGTATCACCTTGATCGTGGTGATGGTATTATGGGTGTTTTCCAGGTTCCAACTCATCAAATCAGACACATTAAATATGTGCATTTCTGTGTAGATCACTTTTACATCAATAAAGCTACTTAAAAAAGGAGAGAAAGAAGGGAAAGTTGTGGAGTCCTGAAGGAATGTAGTGGGAAGGGAACCCCCTCCACGGGCTGTTACCAGGCCTGTGCCAAGAGCCCCTGGCATTTCTCTTCCTGTTTATGGGGGTCACATGATAGCCGTTCGAACAGCTTCTTAAAAAGAAAGTAACATCGCAGGAGAGCTAGGAATGACGAAAGCTGATGAGATTTCTTTTTAGGGATGGTGGAGTTGTGATTTTGTTTTAAAACATCCTTGGTTTTTATAGGTGGGTACTAAAATACTTGAGTTTGTAAGATGTCTAGGATTTGCCTTAGACTGTGAAGAAAATGAAAACCACTCTTTGGTTTTTCTGGAGATGCCAAAGGAGGCGGTCCTTTGGGACCAGCATGCCATACCAAGTTGTCACATGTGTGCACTATTCACTGTGATGTCCCCGTGGGCAGAGGCCGCATTCATTGTGTCATTACTCCCAAGGTGACCAGTCTGCACTGGACTCACCCACATCCACACTAAAGGTACCTGTGGAAATGCCTGGGGAGAGAGCAGGTTCCTTATCTATGGATGGGAAGCTGCGGGCAGTGCTCTGTCACCATGGACTGGACCAAAGGACTCAGGGAATGGGTCCTTTGAGGTGTGCTTTGCCTGAAGGTTGCTTCAGACCTCCTGAACCTCCTATCAAGGCTGAACTGACCCAGCAGACATCTTCCTACTGTCCTGCAAGCAGCCCACCCTTCTCTAAGCCAAGCACCTGGCAGACGGCTACCAAGTTCAGCTTGTGTTCATTTGTGGTGAGGATGCAAGAACTCCCATTGATGTCCTAGACCCTCCACACACAGTGACGGGTGACCTCCCCAACAAAGGAGACCTGACCAACAAGTCACACTCTAGGGATATGATGGGGGATGGAGCAGAAACGACAATGCACACGAAGGCTTAGGCAGGGACCGAGCTTTATTGAGGCAATCACACTCACACTTCAGTTGTTCATGATGATTGGCAAATAGGCTAGTTTGAAAAAGCTTCCCCCTTCCATACTGCCCCTCTACATTCAGAAAGCAGTAAAAATATATAGTACAGGGAACACGTTCCACCTTAAGAGTGTCATGACAGTTCATAAATTTACCAACAGACAATGCAAAACAATTATTTACCCTTTCTAAGCTCAAAATTCAGATACTTGTGGTACAATTTTAAAACTAACATTGTATGTTTTTTTCAGTCATTATAAAAATACTTTATATAAATTCAAAGTCAGAACTAAAAACATTCAATCCTATAAAAATATCTTTTACCCATAAAAGTACCAATTTCTAGATAATTGTTCCTTATCAACAAGGGTTACTAAAGTTTCAGGAAGTACCCACCATGTCAGACAGTCCACTTAAAACCAACGTGTCAAAGTGACTTCAAGGCTCAGTGTCAACCAGTCTTTTGTTTTCAGAGATGAACCCCATATTTGATTATGCTGCATATAAACGGCACGAGTATTCTACAAAAAGTTAATGCAAGTATCTATTTACCATGAAAGTCATGTATAAAGACAAACTCTTCATCCTAGGGAAGGAAATCTCAGGTTGGCATTGCCTTCTGGAGAAGGAAGATGTTTTGCTATTGACTCAGCTACATTTTACCTGGAAATGTTTAACTTGGAAAACCTGTGATTGCATTTTGGCCACTATCTGAAATCAGCTCATTCATTTCATTTTGCTTACTCTCTTTTAGGGCATGGTTGGGGTGATTTTTTTGGGTCTGTGCTCTTTTTGATCTCCTGAAACATACTTTTAGCAGCAGATAACACAATTTGGCCACATTAAGCAGCATACAAATCACAGATGCAGAGATCATAAAAATGGTGAACACAGTTTTCTCTGTCGGCCTAGAAATAAAGCAGTCAACGAGGTTGGGGCAGGGCTCGATCCCACATTTCAACACCCAGGGCAGGTGGTACCCATTGTAAAGGAAGTAAAACACGTACATAAAGGAGGCCTCAAAGATGATTCGGAAGAAGATGCTGCTGGTGTACGTCCACCACAGCGACCCCTCTATCCGAACCTTCTGCTTTTTAATGTCCTCTATGTCTTTGAATTCATTCCTCTTCTCCCCTCGCTTGAATTTTCGGGCAGTTTCATGCCTGTAGTAGGCCACGTGCATGGCCACCAGCAGTGCTGGGGTGGACACGAAGATCAGTTGCAGGGCCCACAGCCGAATGTGGGACACTGGGAAAAAGTGGTCGTAGCATACGTTTTTGCATCCAGGTTGCAGAGTGTTGCAGACAAAGTCTTCCTGCTCATCACCCCACACTTCTTGGGCAGCCACCACAAGGATCATGACGCGGAAAATAAAGATGACTGTGATCCACACCTTCCCAATGCTGGTGGAGTGTTTGTTGACACCCCCAATGAACGTGTGCAGGGTCCCCCAATCCATAGTGCCTGTTCACTCCTAAATAGACAGAAGCGAGCATCGGTCAGTAAGTGGAAGGTGCTTTTGAACCAACATAGGGGCACAGTGATACTACAGACTGAAGCAAATTTCTTCTAAAGTAGGTTGTGATATTTTACAACTTCACCTCCTCCGTTAGTGGGAGGTGGTTTCCTGATGAGGAATATCTACTCTAACAACATCCTAATGTTTTTCTCCAGAAATAACTTTTTTTGAAGGTGGGGGCATTACGATCATCTTGATTCAACTGAATTTAGATTCTGTATGAGGCTGCTGTTTGCCCTTCACCCAGGAGCACGAGTGAACAGATTCATTCACTAAGTAAATACACATCTCGTCAGACTGGCTCTACCCCGGGCTCACAAGGCTTCTGCAGTAGACTTTATTTATGAAATGGCTATTCAAGGAATAAAAAAACCCCTCATTCACGGGAATGACATAATCTGGTTTGCCCAGCACGCTAAAAAGGGAAAAGAAAAATACTTACTAGTTTACTTTATACAGTATATTTATACTTATTTCTAGCTTGAATAACATCATCTGCTGTGATCATGTGCTCTTAGGAAATCTAATATTGTCGGCTACTGAAAGAGCCTCTTCCAAGAGAATCACAAGCTTTTTACAAAATTGCTCTGTTGTTCTCCAAGTAACCAGGCCCAAGGCTGGCTCGGCCTCACCAGCAGGTCCCATTACCGCCAGGGGCCACTGAGAAAGGGGAACCACTGCCACTGCACCCAGGGCCTCCCTCCCTGTGAGCACACTGACTTGGTCCTGAGAGAAAAAGCCCTTCTTTACTGCTAGAGGAATTTTTGCTACAATTCAAACAGCCGCCTTCTTTTTTGATACTGCCACACAAAACTAAAGAATGGGTCAGTGTTCTCCTTAAAAAAAAGAAAGGATAAATCATGGACCCTTTGAGAATCTTCAGAAAGTGAAAGAACCTCTTCTCTGAAGACCACACTCAGGCAAGTTCACATACTTCCAGGGCATGCGGGAGTCACCAAATTCCTTTTGTCCACTGGTTGTAGAGAGACTTCCTTGTCCCTGAATGGGTGAGGGACACCAAGCCTTCCCCTCCTGCCCCTCGGGTCACACAGCAGTCAGGAAACAGAGGAGGCCTCACCCTGCCCTGGAGGCTCCTGCGCTGCCCTGCACTGGGCCTCAGTGAGGGGCCTTTCTGTGCCCATCAAGGCAGCACCTTCTGTAGACTTAATGAAGTCAGCAGTCCTGTATCATAAAAGCCAACTCTCATTTTAGTTGGTTTTCTGAGCAACTCATTTTTGGCCAATCAACAACTCCTAACTTCTCCCTTTCCCTTGTACCTGGTAACTACCATTCTACTTTCTATGTCTATGATTTTCTTTTCTTTTTTCTTTCCCTCCCTCCCTCCCTTCCTTCCTCTTGCTCTCTCTTTCTTTCTTTCAACAGAGTCTCAAGCTGTTGCTCTGGGGTAGAGTGCTGTGGCATCATAGCTGACAGCAACCTCAAACTCCTGGGCCCAAGCGATTCTCTTGCCTCAGCCTCCCAAGTAGCTGGGACTACAGGTGCCCGCTACAGTGCCTGGCCATTTTTTTGGTTGTAGTTGTCATTGTTGTTCTAGCTGGCCTGGGCTGGGCTGGAACCTGCCAGCTTCGGTGTATGTGGCCAGGGCCCTCCCCACTGAGCTACTTTCTATGCCTATGATTTCTTTTCTTTCCTTTCTCTCTTTTTCTTTTTTAGAACACATAAGTTTATGTTATATTAGAGAGAGGGAAAAGAGTGGGGGGAAAAGATGAGAAAGGGAGACGAGAGCAGGGAGTGAGAGGTGAAGATGGGGAGAGAGAAGCAGCAGAGAATCTGTGCCTATGGTTTTCACCATGCGGGGGACCTCAAATATATACTGTATGTGTATTTTTATGACTGGCTTATTTTCATTTAGCATCTTGTCTTTAAGTTTCACCCATGGTATACTGTGTGTCAGAATTTCCTTCCCTTTAAAGGCTAAATAATATTTTATGGCATAGATGGATACATTTCTCCTGTCCACTCCTCCATCAAAGGTTACACTTGGGCTGCTTCTACCTTCTGGCTATTGTGAATAATGCTGCTATGAACACAGTTGTGCAAATATTGTTTTGAGACCCTGTTTTCAATTCTTTTGGGTATATGTCCTGAAGTGAGATTGCTGGACTTAATGGAAATTCTATTTTTAATTTTTTGAGGATTTCCACAGAAGATCAGAATAACCATTTTTTTTCAGAATGAAAGAGGGGCCCAATGCCTGGAGAAAGGCAGCTGATCTTGATTTTGGAAATAATATAAAGTTTGTATGTGTCAAGTGGGGAACTTTTTATTGTGCCCTCAGCAAAATTCTGAAACATCATTATTAAACTTTGTTAAAGAGTTCAGTAATAATAGCCATGAAGATGAGAATGGCATAGAGTGTCTTAGTTATAAAAACATTCATTGGCCAGGCGAGGTGGCTCATGCCTGTAATCCCAGCACCCTGGGAGGCCAAGGGAGGTAGATCCCTTGAGCTCAGGAGTTTGAGACCAGCCTGAGCAAGACTGAAACACTGTCTCTACAAAAACATAGAGGTGGCAGCAGGCACGTGTAGTCCTAGCTACTCAGGAGGCTGAGGCAGGAGGACTGCTTGAGCCCAAGAATCTGAGGTTGCTGTGAGCTAGGCTGATGCCACAGCACTCTACCCAGGATGCCAGAGTGACACTATAACCCTCTCTTCCTGGCCACAAACCCCCAACAAAACAAACAATAAAATAATTTGTTGAGCCCTCTCCTATCATCAGCAAATTAGTTGTATTTTCATGGTTCGTTAAATAATTCCACCCATTAGGAGTTATTTTACTTAAGGAATATATGTATCAGCAGGATATCGGTGCCAACCACAGGTGGCAAAAAAGAAACTCAAGGTCAGGCTATGTAAAGAGACAGAGTGGCCAGCTCCCTGGGCAGCCACATCTGTAGCACTGTGTTCATATTCCAAGGAAGACACTGGCTGGCTGGGATGTGCCTACAGGAGTGTGAACAGGCGGGGGGTCTGGAGGTTACTCACAGCTGAGGGAACGAGAGCAAACTTTTGCTTGAGGAAGACTATGGGGTGCAGGACGCACTGTCAGGTGTGCGGTGAAAGGAGTCGCTCCATTCCTGTGGAACCAGGACTGAGAACCACAGTGAGAGCTGAGCATTAACAAAAAGCCAGAGTTTTGCTTCAAAAGCAAACTGAGAAAAACTGAAATAGGTCACCTTTAAAGATGCAGTTTCTCATCCCTCAGAGTCTTTAATCACAGGCTGGTGAGTGGCTGCCAGGGGTGACACAGGGGACTCCCCAGGAGAAGTGGTTCCAGAGGCCCATAATTACATGTATTTATTAACTCTGCTCTTACATGCACCACTTATTCCACAGCCTAAAGAGACTCCCAATGCCCACAGCAAATGCACCTTTGCTTTTAAAAACTCATGTTAAATAATACGAGTTATGAAATGAATTTTAGTTCCTGATGAAAAGACATAATACATTTTCTTAATTGTTAATGTTCTATCCCAGAAGCATTTGAGAATGTGTGTGTGTGTGGGAAGGGGGAGAAAGGCATAGTACCTCCTGATGTTTAAACACATCAGTCAGTTTAAACACATTTAAACACATTTAAATGTGTTAAACACAGTTTAAACACATTTTACAGCAGCTGTTCCCCTGAGGGCTCAGCCCTGTGTGTTTGTAAAACGAAGATGTTTTCTCATTTGCCGATAAACAATCATCCACTTTTATCAAATAAAAGTTTCCTGTTTTCTCAATCACTTCAGAGTCCATAGAATTGAGTCTCCCACAGCCAAGAAGGCTGTGTTCTCTTATACCTGCAGCACGTAGCCTGTCTGGGTAGGTCCCTTAGTACTTGTCCTTCTAGGAAGCAAATGGGTCAAGGTGTAAAACCTCAGTGTGAGCTAAATAAATTCTGAGAGGCTAAAGTCACGGAAGGGGTCAAGAGGTCACAATTTCCCCCCAAGAATGCTGGCCCCAGCTTTCTAGAAGCAAGGAGCCACAGAGGACAGAGGTGACAGTGGACGATTCAGCAACATGTAAAGAGGACACTCATCCCTAATCCTCAGTAGGCAGAGGTGCAGCGGCCAGCGTGTAGACAGACTGCAGAGGGCCCAGAGGAAGGACAGCAAGACAGCACCAGCCCTTAGGCTCCCCCTGGTACAAAGATACCTAACCCCGGTGTGATCTTTCACCATGCTTCAAGTGAAGCAGATGTGAAGGCTATTTCAATTTGGAGAACTGTCAAATTATTCTCCAAGACAACTGCATCCATTGGAACATAAAATAAAATATAGGTACTTCTTTCATGATTCCAGAGGGCTAGAGCCAAGGGAAGGAACTTTTTTTAAAACAAAGTAAAAGATTAACTCTTTCTTGTAATCCAGAGAGCTTTATTTTAATTGATGCTTTCCTGTGATCTCTTTTTAACCTATCCTAACCTGAGAATCTCTTTTTAAAGGAAAGACTAGATGTGCCTAGCTTCTGTAGTCTTCCACTTATAAGAACGTGGTTACATTTAAACTGAAGAAGGTAAACAGAATTTGGTATCGTAGCAGATTGTACTGTAGTGAAGAATAACACGTCGCATTCTTCGTACTAAAGCTCCAGTCTGAAATAACCAAAAAATAAGGAAACCACTGACTTTACTTTTGAGGATACACACAGTATTATGATGATGGATTGGTCTTCCCTTTTAAAATTAAAATAATGTAGGTCTATTGGCATTCTACTATAGTAATGTAATGTCTGAATTGTTCTAAAACTTCTTATTTAAGAATCTAATCACAACTAGCTTGTTTAACAATGCCATTTTAGATTCACTGATGACAGAGCCCAAACTCAAGCCTAAGAGGCACAGTGTTATCCTCAGCATTCACCAAGAGGTGGAAAGGATCTTTTTCTAGATAGTCCTGTCTCCCTTCAAATGACACACTGAAAATCATTCAGTGAATATTTGACA